TTCCTACCTAAAAAAAAAAAAAAAAAGAAAAAAAAAAAAGACTATGTTGCTACCTTCCTATACCAGTTGATATCCTCTTACCAGACCACCAGGACTGGATGTCCCATCACCAGAACAGAATGGCAGCAACAGCAAAAAATAAAAAAAAATTAAAAAAAATGACTGCAACAGGTTTCCGGCGTACTTTCCGCATATTTCTGAACAATTGGAATGCCATGCAATGCCAACTTGTGGTCAAGTTCGTGTTGTTGATTCATGAAAGGCCGATTATTGCAATGGATAGTATATAGTAGATTGAGGGTTGATGTCCGGTGTCAGTGTGTGAGAGTGAGTTGTTGCACGGCAGCCATGGAGGAGCGGGGTGTGGATATCACTCGACCGGCATGATTCCCCTTTTGAACGCTGTGTCATGGCTGCAGTGGGTAAGGCGCCAGGCTGTTGAGCTTGAGATCGGCGGTTCGATTCCGTGTAGTAGGGTTGGATCCAGGTGGGGTGAATATCACTCAACCGGCATGGTTCCACTTTTGTCCGCTGCGTCATGGCTGGCATGGTTCCACTTTTGATCGCCAGTTCGATTCCACGCAGGGTCAGACCCAGGAAGATACAGAAATATATACGGTTTACCGGGCAGTTCTGTTTGTGACGATATATATATATATTTAAAGAAATATAATCTAATGTATACTATAAAGGATTTTTTTTTTTTTTTTTTTTTTTTTTTTTTTTTTTTTTTAAAGGGCCCAGTGCCCAAGGCTGATATTATCCATGAGAAAGTTTGAGGCCGGGGTCCTCACAGTCTTATACTATAAAGGATTATTATAATTTATAAGGGAAAATTTTTGAAATGCCCCTGAAGTTTGCGTTTATTTGCGGCGTGCCCCTCTGATGGCCGACTTACCTTGTCGCGCCCCTCTGACGACCAATGATGTTTCCAGAAAACCCCTGGCGTCGTTTGGGCCTCAAACATGTTTCATATGCCCCTACCGGTACCGGTACCAAATTTTCAGTATGCCCCTACCGGCTGCCTGTTGAGAACCACCGGAAAAGTTTCCCATATGCCCTTACCGGTACCGTCCATCTTTCCAGCAAGCCCCTGTCGCCGTTGTTGACACTCGCAGTCCATACGAGGGAAGAGGAGGGAAGAGGGGGGAAGAGGAGTAGGGAGTACAAGGACTAGGACGATGACGGACGAGGGAGGAACGAGGGAAGAGGAGGGGAGAGGAGTAGGGAGGACATTCGATTCGTCCTCATACACCACCTGTCCAACAAACGAGTAAACGAAAAGATGACACACACACACACGCACACACACACACACACACACACACACACACACACACACACACACACACACACACTGCTGCACCATTTTTCCCTGGCGGCATGTGAAATACCTACTATTTTCGAGTTCGAATTCCTGTCCCCACTGCTGCAAGGGCATCGCAGAAAGATGTCTGCCCCTCGTGAGGGCATTTCAAGGACGGACCGACGAAACGCCACCAGCGGTCCAGTAAGGGCATATTGGAAAGTTATGCCACATGCTGACAGGGGCCTGCGGAAAATTTCAGAGGCCCGAGGGGCATAACAGGGTAAGTCGGCCTTCACAGGGGCACGCCGCAAATAAATGCAAACTTCAGGGGCATTTCGAAAATTTTCCCAATTTATAATTATGGCGGATAAACTTTTTTTTTCGAATGTTGGATCCACTGGTCTATAAATAAGATTGTCTTGCTCCATCGTCTCTTTCTTCGAATTTCTTTCCCCCCCCCCCCCCCCCCCCCCCCCCCCCCCCTCCCCCTCCTCCTCTATAAATGAGTGCGCCTTGCTTGATGCCATTCATTCTATTGGTCGAATGGAGGGATTACATACCCTTTCCTGCAGGCAGACAATTGAAAGCAGACGCAGACTGCCTGAGGCGAAAGAATAGGACACATGCATGTATTAACGACGTGGAAACACCAGAGGCTTGACCCACTGTTTCTCTGCGCAACAGCAGGCAGGAACAGAGCAGAGAGCTGCTAATCTTGGNAGGAACAGAGCAGAGAGCTGCTAATCTTGGTGGTAGGGGGGGGGGGGGGGGGGGGGGGGGGGGGGGGGGGGGGGGGGGAGTGGGTGATGGGGAGGGAAGGAAGGGTGAGGGTGCGGCAAGGGAGGGAGAGGAGGGGGTAGGCGTTGCACAGAAAATTGCAAGCGGGATCTGTCCTACGGGCTCACACAGCTTGTGTACAGGTAAAGCAATTGCAGAGGTGGAGTGTGATAGAGCCTAAAAGTCTGTGGAATGTCACAGCCTATAGGCTAGAGGCTATAGGCTATAGGCTAAGCTAATAAAGCTATAAGCTATAGCTATGTGGAATCTTACAGCTTGTAGATACATAGAAATCTTATAGGGCTATAGGCTATAAGTTATAGCGTGACGGAATGTCATAGCCTAGATCTATGTGGAATCCTACAGATTGTGGAACTATAGCTAATCTGATGGCCTATGGCCTATAGGTATGTGGAGTCGTAAAGCTTGTAGCTACTATGTACAATCTTATAGCATATAGCCGAGACTCCCTAGCGGTATGTGGAATCTTACGGATGATGTGATAGCTATAATGTAGAATATGCTTGCCTATAGGCTATACTATAGGCATGTGGAATTTTACAACTTATAGGCTTATAGGCTTATAGGCTATAGCTATGTAGAATTTCATTATTTTACAGCCTAAGTTGTTCGTCTTAGCGAATTCCATGAGCTCGTTACGATTTAGTGTTTACTATTTAGCATTTAGTATTTTAATAATTTTAGTATTCAGTATTTAGTAGTTCGCGTTTAGTATTTAGCATTTACTATTTACAGCTATGGTTCCCCGTAATACTATAATGACAATAAAAAAAAAGGCCTGAAAGGCCGTCCTGTCCAGATTTGACAGGTAATTGAATTGGTTGGGCTTAAAAGAATTAGCCTTTACAAAAAAAAAAAAAAAGTCAAACTGAACAGTTTCATGAGTTGTAATGGTTCTCGGTTCATCGTATTCCTTGTTTTTTTCCTTGCTTGCCGGTGATTAGTAACCAGCGATTAGTCCGGTTACTAATCACCGGCAAGATAACGGGGGTTGGATGTTTTATGGGGAAAAAAAAAAAGATTTCAAATCGACTGCCCATTGTCGAAATTGACGATTTTTTTTTCCATTTGCTTTTTTTTTCGCTGTCCTGGGCTGTCCATGATTTCAAAATTTTAAATTTTAAATTGAAATCTAGGCCACCAGATTGGCCCGGGACCACTTGCCCGGCCAGGCCAAAAAAAAATAAAAATAAATTATAAATATAATATAACATATATATCGTCAAATAGAACTGCCCGGTAAACCGTAGGCATATATATTATTTATATTTTTTGTATTTTTTTTGGTAGAGAATTTCGATGTGACCGTGAGGCAAAGGTTGTTCAGTTTATTTTTCTGCATAACATGGTCATTGCACGGCCGGGCCGCCCGGGAAAACAGGGTGACCGGGGCAGCTCGGCTGGTAGCCTAGATTGAAATTGAAATTGAACTTGAAATTGAAGACTTGAAAATTTGGAAAATTGAAATTGAAAACTTGAAAATTGAATGTCAATTTGTAATTGAAATGGAAATGGAAATTGAAATTGGAATTGAAATTTTGAAAATAATACGAATAAGAATAAGAATAAGAATAAGAATAATAAGAAAGAAATTGAAATTGAAATTGACTGGTTGTCTCTATGCTGCAGGGATCCGTTGTGCATGAGGATTTTCAAGGTCGTCAAGGAACAATACGTGATGGGGACGTTCAGGTAGCGGCATCGTCCTGCAACAGCACCTGTACCCCACCCCCTCTACCTCTCTGCCACTCCCCCCCTCTTCCCCCTCCCCCGCCTGCCCCCGCCTCCGATGTCTTCAGAACTCTGAAACAGAAACGCCGTTCACACGTTTCTCCGTTGAGATTTGGCATGAAAGAAAGAAATGTGAAAAAAAACTTAAAAAAAGACTGTGAATGAAATATGCTTCATTG